AATAATAATAATAATAATAATAATAATAATAATAATAATAATAATAATAATAATAATAATAATAATAATAATAATAATAATAATAATAATAATAATAATAATAATAATAATAATAATAATAATAATAATAATAATAATAATAATAATAATAATAATAATAATAATAATAATAATAATAATAATAATAATAATAATAATAATAATAATAATAATAATAATAATAATAATAATAATAATAATAATACGTACGGGGTAATAGATAAGAAACGTAATTAGTATCGAAATATTTGCAATCCATTTTCAATCTGTGATTAGCATTTAGCATGCATAGAAAATGTTACTATGCATATGAAACGTAATTAGTATGGAAACATTTTCAATCCATTTACTATTGCTAAAGAAGCTGTAGGTAGATTTCTTGTGTTTTACATATCTCATACAGTACCTAAACTGGATATATAAAATAAAACTTTTCTAACTCTTTTTTATTGGTAAGATGTAGTATTAATTAAGGAGTAACTATTAATTACTAGTATAATTTTTTGTTATGTTATTATTTGTTTTGTACATATAGAAATATTATTTATTCACATTCATTTATTTTAGTAGTCAATAAGTAAAGTAAAATAAAAAAAATAAAAAAATAAGAAGTCAACCTAAAAAGTACCAAGAAAAGAATATACAAAATATTTCCTACTACATACGTATTAGAGACCTACGAGTAGGAGGAGAAGATTGTAAAAATGTGAACCAGCCAACCACAAACGCTGCTATGTATGGCGTTTTCAACAATCTAATTTTTTGGCTGGTTGGAATGAAGAAGCTAATTCAACAAGCTATTCACCAAACATATTATTTGGCTTATTAATTAGTCAAAGCATCTAAATTTGGTCAAACCAGCCAAAAAATGGCTGATAAGCCATTTACCAAACATGGCCTAAATGTACGCTAATGTAGGAGGAGGCTTTTGAGAAGGTAGAACTTCTGAAACATTAGGCAAGGATAAGAGGATATCAAGTAATATGAGCTGGGCTGATGAAGGGATAAGGAGAACAAAAGTGTACTAAAATGCCCTAAAAGATTTAGGCGGGAAACGACCGAGTTGAGTTAATACATAGACTCCTATCATTATGCTTGTATAAAAAAACTTCGAGCAAGACAACAAAAGATATTTAAGAGTGCACTTTTTCTTCTTGTCATCATTTTATTAAAGTTTTAAATTTTATCCCAAGATGAGAAGAAACATATGAAAAAACAATACTCTCTCTCTTGGCTAATGGCTATTGTCTTTATTTTTACGGTCTGCTTCTTCAATAGTGACTACTTGTTTATGAAAGAAAAACTCCTTTCATACCTGGTGGAAGATAAAGGTCTGAATTCATGTGAGAGCTGATTAGTCAAAAGGTAAACAACCGTGCAAGTAGAAGTACCAAAATTAAGGAAAAAGGCATACCACCTTGAGCTAATGCCAAGTGAAAAATAAATAAGCCCTTAAATAATCTTCTTCATTAACCTCTATGCTACTTAAATTATCAAATGTAGATGAATTTGAATTATTAAAAGTATGAATATCATATACCCTACATTAATAAGTACTCTGCAATTAATGAGTGAACCAAAAGCATATATCAAAACTATCATCAAAACTATTAGTCAAAATGAGTTGTCTGTGACAGACAAAATTTCTGTGAAGGACAGACATGTGTACACATTTTGTGTACATATTTTGTGTACCCAAACCCATTGCACCCACGAGCGGACCAGACCAGGACCGCCCGGTCGTTGACCGGACCAGGTCAGACTGGTCATTGTCCAGACCAAACCCGAGACCGAACTTGAGACTGGAGTGAAACTAGATCGGAGCGGGACCGGATCCACCCCTAGGCGTAACTCGTAAGTAGGCAAATGCATAGTCTGCGTATTTCTAATTTGGAGAACTAGTAAAATTTATTTCTCCAATTCATTTAGGAAAATAGGGACATATTTTTTTAAAGAGACATGTCTTTTTTTTTTTGGAAAAAGATTTGGTAAATGTGTTTTATTGTTTTCTATTCTTCAGTTTTCCAGCAATTTATTCAAGTAAACGCGTTTTCCTGTTTTTTCTTTTACCAGTTTTGTGGAAAACTGGATAATATAAACGATCCCAAAATGTTTGATTTTAGCTTTTCTTAAACGCCATATATCAAACATGATAGGAATGTTTGGTTTTAGTTCTTCTAAAACGCCTTATATCAAACATGATAGGAGAAAGACTAGTAACACTATACATAAGGTCCAATATTTTCACAGGTAAAAATACAAAATATGAGACATCTAAAATCAGGTAGACTATGAACACTCCATTGATTAGATTGTACTTCGCTCTCAACTTTTGGTTTTTGGCACTCTTAAGGATGTGGTAGGTCATCCATTTTTAGTGCATACTTGCATGTTCTAAATCGTTGGAATGTTAGATGAGAACTTATTTTCAAATAGCCTAGTGAACGGAGGCGATCACTATCTCTTCTACCGTGTTTTCTACAGTATCATCCTGGTTTTATCCGGCGTTTCTTCGTCTCCCCCATCTGTGGGGTATTGAGTCCTCGCTGACGAAAGGCAATCGAGAGGTTTGGGTCCTCACGGGTGGAAGCCAGTCGAGAGAGTTCTCTTATTCAAAATGGGATGTGTGAGCTGGAAGTGTTTGGAACTGCAGGGGCTTGGGGAAACTTTGATTGTCTTTGGATCGAAAATCCTCCTATTTGTATTCGTGATCTCCTTTTGATGGATAATCATTAATGAACTTTGTTAGTTGTCAACAAAAAAAACTTATTCTCACATAGGACTTACTTAGTCTTAATAAAAGGACTAACATGTCAAAAGTTTAACTTTTAAGAGTGATTGAATCATGTTTTAAAAAGAAAATATAAATGATCTAATTTGAGGAATTTAGTCATCTTTTATTCCTATTTAAGGGATTTTCTCTAAATATGGATGGTTATGGTTGTACTAAACTTACTAAAATAGTTTTGGGAAAAAGTAAAAGCACGGTCATGTTTTTATGTATTTGTTGTCACTAATGAATAAACTTTAGTTTTGTGTTTTGAGAAACCGTAATAAACTTTAAAAGCATGAACTTTAATAAGATATTTTAATATATTTAACATTACTCCAACTACATACTACTCGAAAAATGTTAATTGTTGTAGTAATTTTAATATATTTATTGCGGTTCAGATTCACAGAAATTGACAGAGCAACAAATTGTGAAAGAAGTTAATTTACTACGGTCACAACCGTAGCAAATAAAGGCCGAAAAAATTTAAAAAAAAAATGTTGTGGTTCCACAACGACTGCAACAATAAGTCATTGCATAAAGAATGTATGCTCCTTTTTTACATATCATACTTATTGCATAAAGAATGTATGCTCCTTTTTTACATATCATTTGCTCTAAATGGATAATTTTATGAGTTTTAAACCAACACAAACTTGTATTTATAACAATCCAAGTTATCAAGTATCACAAAAACATGATTCAAATTCTATCCAACACAACAAAAATTATATTCTTACAATACATCATTTACACAATAAAGAGTTTACAACAAATTGTCACAAACATATATCACTTGTGTATCATGGATTTTATCAATTTTTGCCACTGACAACGCTTCATCTCTAAGAGTGAATATAATAGCCGATTGAATTAGCGGATTGATACCAACAAATTTTTTAGCGGTTTTGACCCTTCGCTTTCATTAGCGATTTCAAATAAAGTGTTTGATAATTAATTGTTTGCGGTTAGCTATTAAAATGTGAACTGACCATTAAAGATATAAACTAGTCTACTTCATTAATTTTAATAGTTGAACACTTGAACTACAAAAGCACTGCTAACTTATTGTTTAAATTGTAATGTAATTCAAATTGTCAACTCAAAAACTACTTATTTGATATATAAAAAATTGGATAGAAACAAAACCATAAATAAGAAAACAAAACATACTCCCCTACTTTTCCTCAATTAAAAACATATTTCCAATCAATTCCGCCAGTTTAAGTATTAGTGAAGGGAATTCAAAAAAAGTGTTTGCAACTGCTTCTGTTTAAAAAAAACACTTTTGGAGATGTAAGGAAAAAGTGATAAGTAGTAAAAGTTGATAGTGTTTGAGAAAAAAGTGATTTTGAAAAGTAAAAGTTAGTAGTGTTTGATAAAATAAGTGTTTTTTGTGTAATAGAAAAGGGAAAAACATTTTTCACACGCAAGCCGAGAAAAAGTAAAAATTAGTAGTGTTTGGTAAATAAGTGTTTTTTAAGCCTATTAAATAAAGTGTTTTTTAGCTTTTGTCTTAAAAAAAAGTTGAAATGAGTGTTTTCAAGTGACAGCTTTTGCTTAAATTAAACACTTAGGCTGTGTTTTCCTTTGATTGTGAAAAGCACTTTTGGCTTTTTTTTAAAAAAAAAGCAGTTTGGAGTGTTTGCAAAAGGCTGCTTTAGCTTTTATAAAAGTGCTTTTGGGGTAGAAGCTGGAAGCTACTCCCAGCTGCTTCTATCTGCTTTTGAGGTTTTTTTGTAAATTATACCATCTCATTTACCCAACTTTACCAGACAATCACTTTTTTACCAAACATTCCAACTTTAACTTTTTCATTTTAATCACTTCTATTCTCAAACACTCCCAACTTTTACCATTAATCACTTTTCCAACAATCACTTTTCAAAATCACTTTTTTAAAATTTAAGCAATAGCAAACATAGCCTTAAAACACTCCAATCTCTTTTTGAAGAGAAAACCTTGTCAAGAATTCTCTCTCATATTCATTATTACCCTCTCCTCTTGCTCCATCATTTGTCCTCTACTCTTCATTTTCTGACACACTGTCTCACTATAAGGAGTAAGTTCGTTACCTGGTAGTGCAAGCAAAGCAAGCACCGCCCCGCTTTTAATTTAGTTCCTTTGTCTTTTAATTTTGTTACCATTATATAATTCTATAATACTCCCTTCCCTTAAAGACTCCCTTGGAATTTAATTTCTTGTGCTGGCATGATTTCTACTGCTAAAGAATAAGTAAAGCAAGTTTTGGTTTTGTAGCTCTGTAATTCCTCCCCTCTCATCTTTCACTTTCGATCCATCACTTGCTTGCTAAATTTAGATGATGAACTAAATAAAGAATGGAAATCCCATCGAGTAATGGAGGAGAAATGGCAGTGCCAATCCATCTCCCTCCTCCAATTCACAATGCTCAAGTATTCATACCTGCACAAATCCCATCTTCCATTGGGCCCACCATGGATCAGCATGGGCCCCACAACATCAATTCCAACCAAATGGCTGTGAGCATCAGGTACAGGGAGTGCCTCAAGAACCATGCAGCTGGGATGGGAGGGAATGCCACTGATGGGTGTGGTGAGTTTATGCCCAGCGGTGAAGATGGAAGCCTTGAGTCACTCATCTGCTCAGCCTGCCATTGCCATCGGAACTTCCACAGGAAGGAGGTTGAAGGGGATTCCTACGGCCCACCTTTCGGGACGAAGGTCTACATGGGCTGCCACCACTTGCGAGCATTGTATGCTGACGCAAGTGGATCATCAGGCCCGCACCAAGTCATTAACATGATATCAGAGCCAAACAAAGAGAGGAGGGTGGTGGTGGTCATGCGGCCTCCACACCCGGGGCAGGTGGTGAAGAAGAGGTTCAGAACGAAGTTTACACAAGAGCAGAAGGAGAAAATGGCGAAGTTCGCAGAGAGGGTCGGGTGGAAGATACATAAGGAAGAAGAAGCAGCGGTGCAGCAATTCTGCCAACAAGTTGGGGTGAAGAGAAGAGTTCTCAAGGTCTGGATGCACAACAATAAGCACACAGCCCTTTCCAATAAGTTCTCTCATCATCCATCTCCGATCCTCTAATGCATGCCCAATAACTACTTTAACTTTCTTGTACTTTTTATTGTTGTTGCTGTTGATGTAGACTTTTCTACCTTGAGAGTATGGATTAGAGGATTTTAGCTCAATATATTAAAATGATATCGAGGTACATTCCTACTTAATAGGAATGGGTAAGTATGGTCCTGATTAGAGTATGTTCCTAACTTCAATTCATGTGGTGGTGTGGTACTATGCAGGGGCGGACCCAGGAAGTTTGTCTTGGGAGTGCGGAAACTTAAACAAAATATTTTTTGAGAGGGCAAAAATTGTTTTTTATATATATATATATACTAAAAAAAATTGTTGTTGGGGGGCGACCGCCCCCCTGGGTCTGTACTACGGTCCGCCCCTGGTACTATAGTGTCTTCTCCGGCCTCCTTTTTTCTTTTACCTAATTATTAATATTTATTACGTATTATTACCTTGGTCTCATTAAGATTGAGGATTGAGACATAACCAGGTGGTACACTTAAGAAAAGTGAGTTTATGTGGTTGATATTGATTTGATAAAGTAAGAATGATTTAGAACCACACAAATTTTATTCAATTTGGTATGATACAATCTTGGCGACACAGGCCGAAAAGGAGAGATGAACAATCTCAGCGGGTGGAGGGAAGTATTTATTGGGAAAAAAATAAAAAGATATTACCTCTACACTCGTGGAAGACAACATATGAATATTTTCGTTCTTTCAAAATGTGACTAATCTTAGTTCAATTCCTACCCAACTACCCACCCCGCTCCCTACCCCTACCCCATTGCCTCATCCAGCAACCCCTGTGGCCCTGTCAGCAGTAATTGCCGCCTCCGGTCATAGGAAATTTCACCGAGTTCTTTCAGTTTATGAATAATTGTCAGGAAAAGCATGTTATAAATTTGCATCGGTAAAGAAATACCACCTTGACTTGAATGTCAAAAATAACAAAAACTTAGTCTCTTAAACATCCAACAATCAGATACACCAACAAAGACTAAAAAGAGTAACAAAAAAAGTCCAACATAGAAATATGAGTTACATTTCCCCTAAATTTGAGTAACTATTGTCAAACTTGAAAAATACTATCTATTATTATGATATTAATAATGTTACACCAATCCATGTTAATGCCAATTTATGGTTGCATTATTTTTACGTCTATTCAAGATTTATTTATTTATTTAAAGTAACATAGATGTAATATTCTATCGTGAATATAAGCTAAAGCAAGTTAGGCGAGAAGAATTAGTAATTGAATCACCAAACAAGAACAGACTTGTCGGGATAATTGTAATGTCTAATCACATTGTTCTTACTCTTAATTTTACAGAAATTGCCATAAAAGGGGTAAGATTAACAATTGTAGAGAATTTCAATAAGACTATTATTATTTAATGTCATTCATCTCTTTATTTCGAATAAACTTTAATTGATTTTTAAAAATATTTGTACTAGCTAGGGATGGACTCGGGCCGGGCCAACCGGACCGGCCCGCTACTGTGCGGGCCCGGACCGGCCCGGTGAACCGGTTAGTGCCCGGTTCGGGCCACCCGGCCCGGTGGGATAGCGGTCCGGGCCCGGGCCTGATATTTAGTGAACCGGCCCGGTCCGGGCCTCAACGATCATATTTAAAAAAAAAAAAAATTGTTAAAGGCTCTCTAGCCGTTGGGAGAGCTCCCAAACGGCTCTATAGCCATTGGGAGCATAGGAGGGGGGGGTCTGGGGGGTTAGGGGGTGGGGTGGGGGTGGGGGTGGGGTATACAAAAAAAAACCTATTTATACTCCTATTTTCTATACATTTTTTACATCTCTTCTTCTACAACTCTTCCTACTCTTATCTCTAATTCTCTATTCTCTCATTCTCTTATATTCAATCATCTTCATTCTTCATCTTCTCCAAATTCTTTCTACATATATATAATTTATATAATTATTATATCTACTATTCTACTTATATATTAATTATCTACTTATAAATATATACTTATACACATTCATATTATAATTCTTTACACATTATATATACTATATATAGTTATACACATTCATATTTACTTGATATTTAGTTATTATCCATACTATTGTTATTTACTTATATTTACATATTACATTTAGTTAATATATACTTATATATATATATATATTAAAGTATTAAGTATAAGTGTATTACTCATCTTATAGTAACATACTTATATATTATATACTATAAACATTATATTATATATTACTTATAATATATTTACACATTATATATACTATATATACTTATACACATTCATATTTATTTGATATTTAGTTTTTATCCATACTATTGTTATTTACTTATATTTACATATTACATTTAGTTAATATATACTTATATATATATATATATATATATATATATATATATATATATTAAAGTATTAAGTATAAGTGTATTACTCATCTTATAGTAATATACTTATATATTATATACTATAAACATTATATTATATATTACTTATAATACATTTACAAGTTATATAAACTATATAGACTTATACACATTCATACATTTTATAAAAGTAGTTAATTGTACGTTAGACTTCTCATTTATCTATTAAATTAGTTAATTGTTACATTTCTCTACATTTCTCTTTAAAGAAAAAAAAAATAGTTACTTGTTACATATCATTTATCATTTAACATTAGTTAAACTAGTTACTTATTTAATTGCTACATTTCTCATTAAATAAAAGAAGTATTAATTTTTTACATTTGTCATATTAATATTAGTTAAAGTAGTTAATTGTTACATTTGTCATATTAATATTAGTTAATTGCTACATTGCTCATTAAAGTAAAAAAAAGTATTTAATTTCTACATTTGTCATTTTAAAAACTAGTTACACTACTTAATTGTTACATTTGTCATATTAATATTAGTTAATTGCTACATTGCTCATTAAAGTAAAAAAAAAACTAGTTAATTTTTACATTTGTCATATTAATATTAGTCAAACTACTTAATTGTTACATTGGTCATATTAATATTAGTTAATTGCTACATTGCTCATTAAAGTAAAAAAAACTAGTTAATTTTTACATTTCTCATATTAGTTAATTGCTACATTTCTCATTAAAGTATTAATTAGAAGTAGTTCGATTTTTTTGTCAAGGAAAACAAATTGTTACACTATAATATACTCATATTTTAGTTCGAATTTGCTATAGTTTTCTTAGTCACATTTTATTATTACTATTGTACTCATATATAATATTTGATATCATTTAATATTTGTTCAATTTTAAAGATGGAGCATGGTAGACATTCTGTAGATGTGGGTAATCTCCAACGCAACCGCAAGAGGGAGATTGCGTCGACTCGTCCTACTTCACGCAAAGGCAAAGGTAAAGCGCGTGCCGAGTCTTCTTTTCAAAGTCGAGATGACTTTCAAACGGATTACCAACGGAGAGATGATATGATGATGTCCGACGAGCATCTACAAAACTTATTGTCCCAAAATGATCCACGCTTTGCACAAGAACAACACATCCCGACAACCATTGATGAAGAGAAGCTCGAGGATGACGATGTGGAGGAGGACGCGGGGGGCGACGGGACTCACGGCACCCCGGATGATGAGCAATAGTTGGAGGACGAGGGCGGTTCAACCCAAACTGGTAAGAAATCTAAATCTCCTATTATTGAAAACAATTTTACAAAAAGGAAAGACAAAAATACCAAAAAATGGTACGCAAGTTGCAATCATTGCGGCAAAGAGTATAGCTTGGGAACTTCTGGCGGATACGGGAGTCTCACAAGGCATCTTAAGTCCGCCCATTTTGTGGAGTATGCGAAAATAGACAAGAGCAAGGGGAAGCAAACACAAATATCGAGGTTTGCAAATTCTCAACCCTTTGGTTATTTCTCCTATGATGATCAAAAACATTTGACTGGTATGTCTCATTTAATTGTTGAAGAAAATTTACCCTATATTTTTTCCGAAAGTCTTGCTTTAAGAGATTATGCTCAAGGTACTTTAAATCCTCAATTTAGAAATTATAGTCGCAAAACGATTAAAAAAGAAGTTATAAGGCAATATAACTTCAAAAAAGAAAAGTTACAAACATTTTTCGCAAACTTTAATGGACGTGTTAGTATTTGTAGCGATATATGGGAGGATACTTATCATCATTTATATTAGTTGGGTCTTACTGCACATTATATTGATGATGATTGGAATATGCATAAACGTGTTCTTGCTTTTCGTGAATTCAATGATCGTCATACTGCTGATAATATTTATATTCTCATTGAGCGTATTTTAATTGAGTATAATTTGCTTAATAAGGTGTTAGCTGTAGGTTTTGATAATGCTAGTAATAATACTGCTGCTATACCTAGATTGCGTGAATAAGTGGAAGGACCCGAAGACCGGACTGTGGTGGGCAACTTGCAAGTGGTGCAAGAAAGAGTGTTGCTTGGGGCATTCACACGGAGTCGGGATGCCAATAAAACATATGAAGTCATGTGACAAAGACAAAACAACAACCAACAGTGGCGGAAATCCCAATTGATATTTATTAAAAAATGTATTTCATATTGTTATTGTTTTCTCAATTCTCAAATGTACTTCCTATTTCAAATAAATGCACTTGAATTTTGTTTTTAATAAGAATTATTATAATAATATAATATATAATTTTAAAAAAAAATTATAAGGCCCGGCGGGCGGCCCGGGCCGTGAACCGGGCGGGTGACCCGGGCCGGTTCCGGGCCTCCCATACCTTGAACCGAGGCCCGGCCGGTTCAAGGCCCGAACCGGGCCCGGCCCGAACCAAGTCCATCCCTAATTTGTACTCTTCAATGTATGTTACTGTGGCCTGTGGGGGTAAATTGAAACTCGGCCACCTAGAAGGCTACAAGCCTACAACCAGTCAAGAACCGCCCAAGTACACCAAGTCAAGACATGTAACTAGTATACCCAGTAGTCCAGTACCAGGCTTGATTCAGGTCCAGACTGAACCAGCCCATGTCCACCCTACTCTGAGTTTTACCTTCAGCCATCCCACATTTGGAATTTTTCATTTAGTTCAGGCTCAACCAGCAGCTCCACATACACCCCAGAATTAAGGCATTAAGCCCATCAGGAGAAATAAAAGCAGATGGTGTCTCTAAGCAAGGCCAAAAATAAAGTTCTCATGTCAAATGTGGGTGCAATTCTCAACATGTTTACGAGCAATATCAATCTCATTGCCAAAAATGCCAAGGCACACTATAAACTTGCAGCTTTGCACAATTGCACGCGATAGCGAGACATGTATGTAAAAATTATGCTACACAGATTTTGCTGATCTGTTTTACACATTGTTCTTGTATAACTTTGAGTAAATAGGTCGAAGAACAAATAAGTTACAATTACACCTGCAAACCAAAATTTACAAGGAAACTAATCCATATGTTATCATCTCTGGTAATGGCGGGAGGCCATATTTCCAGCTTGCATAGAGAAAATCTGAAACGCTACATAGTACATACAGGTAAAATCTTCTTCAGTTGATGTCCAATTGAATGCTCATGCCTAAACCTGGTTACTATGAGAGAAGTTCACATATGCTTTTTGTCAATATTTAGTGGGTTAACGACATCTTATTCGACAATGTTGCATAACCGAGCTCGACCAGGATTAAGCAGTGATTCTGACATTACCCACCCCTGCAGGAAAAAATGCACTATGAGCAACTATCAAGAAACTAAAGTTGCATGTCAACTTGAAAGAATTAGTGTTCCCTACTTCCCTTAGAATATGATGATAGCGAGTATATCAGTGTTCATTTGCGTGATTATTTGCTCTACCAGGCATAGCATTCATATATCACTTGCAAAATAGATGTATCTTATATTATAAATCGAGTAATGCTACAGTTACATCATGGTTCTGCACCTGGACAACATTTCGAGGTCATTTGGTTCACGGAAAGTGACACTACTAAGATGATGTATCATGACCGTCGATTTAGGTAATGTGAATACCATGGGAACATAACATTACAATCATGTTTGAAACTTTAAGCAAATTGGGGAAGGGGAGACTACATTTTCGGTGGCAAGTAGGGTACTGATTTTTGTCTTTAAAATGTAAACAACGCATTTCAATCTAAAGTTCACAGTTGAGAGAATTTTTAAGCTTAGAAATACAAATAAATGAATAAGAATGCTCATACAAGGGCATTACAGTGGTTTTACTTAAAAAATGAAGTTGACTTTTAAAATACCCTTTCTTGAAACAATACTTTTTTGGATGGAGTACGTATCATAATCCGTGATACACAAGGGCTCGAGGTAATCATGCAATCCTTCAATCTTAATTTCCCTCCCTATATAATCTTACACACAGAGGACAAGCCTGGAAGTGTCAAATACAAATCTGGCACAACTCTGACTAAATTATCCCTAGCTCACTTACTACTTAAAAATTATTTATTAAGGTTCAGAGAAGAAAAATAAATCAATGCCAAACAGATATGGATATCAATGTTCCCAACCTGATCTTTAGCTTTATTCTTGAAAGATGCATACAGAGCTGAGACCATTTTATAAGATTCTGCAACCTGAGCATTAAGATCAGCACTGGGCATCGAAGAAAACGAGCGATAGTCTTGTGATCGATTGCTGGAGGACTGACAATCAGATGATTGGATGAATTGCAGAAGGACATGAGCCTGCATTATGAGTTTGGAAAATGTGATCTAATCTAATTTTCTAAGACCTTGGACTGGTTTGTGAATCTTTCAAGTCTGATCTGGCCTGCAAGTTATTACTCCGGTCTGGCCTGAAAGTTATTAATCCGGTCTGGCCTGAAACTTTCTCGTACGGTCTGGCCTGAAACTTTCTCGTACGGTCTGTTGTTCTTTTCTAATTATTTTGTCTAAAATACAACATCCTGAAGGGCCTGAATATTTCTGATATGGTCTAGTCTGATTGATTATGGTCTATTTAAAAAATATAGGAAATGAAACACTCCATAAGGTGAGCAAAACAACAACAAAATCACCAAAAGTCACAGACTCACATGGAAAGCGGCTTTGAGTACATCATCAGAGTTTGCTTGATCCTTGAGCAATGCATATATGTTCCCTTTGCAAGGATTGTACGTCACAATATATTGTTCTCTCTGTTAACAATAAAGGTAGAGATGTTTTTGAGACACTCGACAAATATTTAGCATAACTAGCATTCAAATTCAAATCATTAATAAAAGTGTGAAAGGAGACATCTAAATTCCATATGTACTTCAAATATAGGCTTCAATGAAAGAAATGAGTCGGGATCTTGAAATGCCTCTCTGAATCTTGACCCTAAAAGCAATCAAAACAAAGTTCCAACACTGTAAAGATAGATTTAGAGGGAGGCATAAATTTGTTCTAGCATATAGTCAAGTACCAAGAACAATAGGTCTCTGTGTTTTCCATGGAAAGCTGCATATAGTTTCCATTGAATTTCCCTCTTGTAGTGTAGGAACTCTACCTAAAGCACAAAACCCACAAGAGTTAATGAACAAAAGAATAACAGGTATTTAGAAAGTATTATTCAAGAATGTTGGGTTTCGAAATTGAATAATCCACTTCTATGTTTGATATAGATTGTGGACTATGGGTAGTACAGCACAACAGCACAATACCTTTTAGCTTTGCAAACATAATAACAAGGACTATAGGTAGCATACTTGTATACCACATACACTCAACACATATAAACATCCACACACACCCACACATATATTGACATATAAAGTTGCAAAAGTGACCATGTGATTGCAGTCACAACAACATCCAAGCCTTATTCCCAACAGATTTTGGGGTCGGCTAACATGAATCACTCCAATGTAATTGCATACAATGATTTAAAAAATGAAAGGTTAGGACTTAGGATCAAATGTTCTCATAATAAAGTGTTCTCATTTTAAAAGCGGTTCTCACTAGAGCCCCCCATATACACATACATAGATATGTATACATATATAGATGTAGACTGATGTACATATATATATATGTGTGTGTGTGTGTGTGTGTGTGTTTGTATATGTACATACATATGTGGACGTACATTTCTATGTGTATATGTACATACAAACATATACATACATAGATATGTATATATACATATATATACAAACATAAATATGAGTATACACACACACACACATATATATATATAAGTTGTATCAATGGCCACCACATAGAAGGTGTTATCTGTGTATTTATCCTAAACTAAAATGGAGGATTGGGGACTTTTGTGCAATACTATAACATAATAACCATAATGTCACGTACCAATGAAAGGTAGGGATTATTTATTAAGATGTACTCATGATAAGAGAGTTATAGTACAGACCGCTCCCTACGGACATACATGTGTTTGTGCGCGTGCGTGTTTGTCAGGGAAAGCAGCCCCAGGGAAAAAAAAATTGGGACCAGAAGCACAGTGAACTAACCTGTCTTCAAGTAAGACTCAACTGCAACAGTAAATCTTGCCCTATTTAAAGTACATAGCACAAGGGACTTTACCTGAGAATTTTACCATATAAATTGATCAGTAAAACAGTGATGACAGAACCGGGGGGCATATGTGACTTGTAGGATTCAAAAATATGCAAAGTTTCACACTGACCTCATTGTAAGAACTGAAAAGATATCCACATGAAAGAAGGGAAAATGTAGTCAATAAGGATGGGTTTCTGTTGGATATCATGATGCTCATCCCAGTGCCAAGCTTCACAAGTAACCATTATGACAAAATTAGTTGGACTGAAAAAAGCATTTAAATTCTACAAATTTTATGTGAGTACTGAGTTCAGAATTAATTAATATCCGATCTAAGTGACACGGGCCCAAGTACTACCATTTTATTCATTCAATATGTTCAAAATTGCATTGAGCCTAACTAAAAAACTACTTTAAGATCAGATTTTGACGAAGCAATGGATCAATAGGGTTGGTTCAACTTAGAGCAACTAATAAAACTTTGGGGTTGAAGACTCTAACCAACTAAAAACGTGTTATTTTATCTGCCTATAGTTTACAAATAGGCATAAACAAACTAGTTGTCCTTAGTACAACTCTTCATCACTTATCTTTATTACTATGTGAGGCTTAAGCCTTGAGGTCAGATAACTTCAACTATTTCTCAACACTCACTTCTCCAGCTGGAACACACGCACATATGTTCAATGTATACCATATGCTCCAAATTAGTTATATGTGTTCTATTCTAATTCTACATCCATCTAAATACTTATAAATATATCTGCTAATTACCTATGTTGTCAGAAATGAGAAAACAGCTGGGAATTGAACCAGCCAAGTGACCAAATAAACGTGTCAACCTGGACCCAGAGGGTCAGCCAGTCAACAGAGGTCAGATTGCTTAATGGATGGTCATTCCGGTCAAAGTTCATCAAAATATAAAAAATGATATGCATATTATCAGACATCTAATTGAAAGAACAAATATTATTGTTCCTAATCAATAATGTGATATGTATTAAGCAGTGGTTACACATTTATGGGCCATGAGTTATACTTGATTTAAACATTTTTAGAATAATTTTATCATGTATCATTCTAGCATGACTTGCAT